TTTTTTTTTTTTTTTTGTGACTGTTATTTTTTCTCAGCTCTCACTGAACCGATTTCTTTCAACGATACGTCAAAAGATCACAACAAATCGTACCTAGTCGAAGACATTACCCTCAAAAATTGAAAAAATTTCCATCGTTTCCCATAAATGGGCGAAACTTCCCAAAAAGATTACATATTTAAAAATCGCTAATTTTCTACATTTTTTCAATTTTTTTTACTTAGAACTGCCATAACTTTTTTAATAATGATTATATCAATATATTTTTTTTTATAGATGCATAATGTCTTTACCTAACATTTGATATATTTTTTTTATAAATGTGACCCTTTACCTGCCCACAAGAGGAGATTCAAAATGACAACTTTTTCACAAAAAATTAACATTTTCAACATAACTTTTAACAATGTTTCGGAAATACTGACACTTTTATATATACCTTAAATTAAAGCTTATGTAATATATTTTATTATGGAAAAAAAATTTTCGGACTTTATTTTGTCTTCACGGTGAAAATGGTTACCAAATGCTATTTTTGTGTGAAAATTCTCGATTTTATATTTTTAACTTTATAATGCTATAACTTATTGAAAAGTGTATGGACCAATACAATTTTTTTATGATAAATAATATTTATATCCTTCTTTCATTCGACATAAATATTCAAACATATTCTTGAAAAAAATCGTTTTCCTCGAAGTGTTCGAAGTGAAGCTTATATGTTTTTCTTTACTAGTACGGCAGTATATTAGTAGTTATATCTAAAAGAAATGCACATTGTCAACGGTTACGTTTAACATTCTATTCGAGTAATATGAATAACATATTTGTATTGATGGTTGTTATCGTATTTTATCATGATTATTTAAAAAAAAATTACACACACACACAGGTCGGCGTCACACGTCATTTTTTACAAACCATTGCACGCAATTAACGACCTAATTCGACGACGGCTCTGGCGGGTCTTTATCATAATAATTTACACTAGAAATAAATTATTCGCCCGTACTAATCGAGTTGCTCAACGACGACGTCAAAATAATGTAACAGAATAAGTCCATTGGCTAAACACGACTTATACTAATGGTTCCGGCTAATGTTCTTGCTGAAGATACAGCGGCAGCAACAACAATGGTTGCATTGTAAATACTATGTTATATTTTAACGTAAAAAGTATTTGTCACACACACACAGGGCCAATGCTGTATACAACAAACGACATGGTAGTAATACTATGAAATATTACGCCTACGCGTTATGTACATGTTCCATAGTTTTTATCAACGTTAAAAAACACAACCAATGTCGGTATGTGTAGTGTAAACACAGAAGAGGCATTCAGCATTTACAAAATATCGACTTTGAGTTAAACGTCAACGTCGGGAACAAATTGGCACGCCGGTATATATATGGTTGTGACATATCTAACGCGCACGACGTAATAGGGCACTAAGGGGCCCACATTATGATCCATAATAACACTTACGTTGGCATACAATTAAGGCGTTGTTATAGTCTAATCGTTGGTCAGGGTTCAAGCATGCACCGGTGGATATGGTAAGTAACCTGTGCACCCCCATTGTTTAATAAACACTTATAATAATTATTTTTACGAAGGAATAATACTAAATTAACCACTCGATTTCTCCTAAAATAATAATTATGGTAAAAAAATTATTTTTTTTTAATTTTACATATTTCTCCATGTATTAATTATTAAGTTTTTTTAAATTCATCCCTTATACATAACAATGTGCAAGCTCAGAGCAATTTTGGCCACTTAATCAGAAGATTAATATCAAACTTCATCTTTATCAGTTCATTACTGACTAAATGTTAAGGCATAGATACAAACTGGGGAGGGATTTTCCCCCCTAAAATTTTAGAAAAACTACATATATAATTATATAAATTAAAATTTTAGAGAGAGGAAAGTTAGATATAATAAGCCCTTCTAGAATTTTTTTTTGAAATTATATCTATGATGTAAGGGATAGAATATAAATTTACTCTAAAAAATAACTACCAATAAACAACATTTTTAATTTTAACAAAATATTTAACAAAATATATTTATAGCTTATTAATTTGGTCACAATATAATATACATCAGGATTGAGTTACAAATAAGTCAAATAATACAAAAAATCTTGCCAAAATAAATTAAAAAAATATAAATAACAGAACTTTACAAAAAATAAATTATGTTGATTATTAATATGGTAGACCTTCAACTAAGAACACAAATATATTTAAGATTATTAGTTCAAAAATTCATAATTACATATTGGGTAAAAAAAAGAACCATTACATCTTTGGATTGGTAGCCTGTATTATATTGCATATTAAAGGAAAAATAGAGTGTTACATAATTTTTCACTTGGCATTTGTCTCACATTTTGTCCAATAAGATAAGCTAATTTATGAGCGTACTGTAAACAAATGACAATTAAGTATAAAATATTTGTACATTAAACTAATGTCATATATTAATATAAAATTCAATAAATAATTGAGAATCTTTTGATTTTAGATTGTAGTTTTTGTGTCTGTATACACAATTGCTCTCGGTTGTATTAGACCAATTATACAAGACAATATGTCAAAACAAACACAAAACCTCTTGCTAGTTGAATAATTACAGTTAAAATAAAACAATCAATGTTTAAATATTAAGTTTCACTTTATATAAAAACTAACTTTTTTAAAACTGAACGTATTGAGAATTTTTTATTGATAATTCTTCAAACATTTACCTTGTTGAAGATATGATTTTTTTTTTTTTTAATCTAACTATTAACCAAGATTTATTGAAGGCTTAAAAATTGTAAAAATTTTTTTTTTTAATTTTTGATAATGCTCCAAAATATCTATATTTATTAAACCTACATTAACAGGTGGAACATTGTAGGACTAACAAACTCTATGTGATGTTATAAAAAAAAGCACATTTTATATTTTGTCTTTCAACCTATTAAATTTAAACTAATACAATGGATATAATTAACTGTTTTAACTGTTTGAATACTTAGATCAAAATAAAATGTTCAGTAGTAATATTTAAGACAAGCACCTATTAAACATATTCAACAAAATTTTTATTTAAAAAATTTCTTTTTGTATAAAAAAAAAATGTTGTATGTTGATATTAATAATATTCTACTATAATTAATTTTTTTCTTTTCTTATATTTATATTTATATAAGTTACCATTTGAAAGAATAATGAAGTGTTTATTTAATTATTGTTGAAACATTTTATGAGTATATGGTTTTCACTAAGTAATATAAATTGTATGTTTTTTATTTTTGTTGGTGTTTTTTATGAAGTATTAAATTCTCAAATGTTCATCCAGAGAGGTATATTTTATTAAAGAAAATTCATTATGCATTAAGTAAATCATATAAAATTTGATTAAGAAACAAAATTTTCTAATCATGAGTCTGAATTATTTTTTTACTTACAAATGAACTGAGAGGGAGCATAATAATTATGCTAATAATTGATATAATTATTATCATATCAAATTCTTTTATTTTCAATTATTGATAATGTTCCAAAAACCCTACCTTCTTTAAGCCTACATTAAACTAAAGCTAATACAATGTACTTTAAGATGAAAAAAACTATAATATTTATATTTATTTTTTTACAACTATTAGAATTTCTAATTGTTATTAGGCATTAAAACTAAAAAATCATACAATTTTTGGAAAAAAAGCCACTTTTATAAAATTTTGCATTGTAACAGAATGCTTACATCATTCTAAATTATTTAAAATTAAAGCTTGTTTATTATAATATATGATTAAAAAAAGAAAAAACTTTTTTTGCAAATTTTCCTTTTTGAGTAATGAACTTTTAAAGTTAAAAACCATGTAATATTTTGAAGATATTTAAAAAAATTTTTTTAATGTGTTTCAAATATGCGTTGAAGTGTTTTACAACAGTAATTATAATTACTGCCAGATACCAATCAATACTAATGTAAAAAATGTCTCAACTCCAATTTACTAAATACATACTGTATTTTACTTATAATATTTAAGTATTCTCTTAATTAACATTAATTTTAAATTTAAATTGATTAATCAACATAGAAACAAATTTTAATTATTAATTATGTTTTAATTAAGATTAATTGGGATACATATTTTTGTTAATTTGTGTTTGACCTAAGAGTAATCGGTGGTGACTTCATTAATTAATTCACTAACATCTCAATTTCTGATTAATAATCCATTCAGAAAAATAATTATCAATTTAAATACCTGAACAGGAGCTGGAACTTTAATAGTACCGCACCAATTGTAGTATAAATGACAAAGTTTGTATGATAGTCTTTGTACATTTTCCGTACTTAGCTTACAACTATTTTGCAATACTATATAATGGGTTGGATTTACAGTACCCTACGGAAAAATAAAAGCTAGTCAAATAAAGCTAATTTAATACAGAATGAATTTTTAATTTTATTAGACATCTTCAAAAATATAAAAATATTAATATTTCTTACATTTCATTGAATTACTAAGAATGTCACATAAAGATAATAAAATTACTCATTTAAAAAATAAAAGAATCATTAAATTTAGTTATAAGATACAAATTTATAAAATACTACGATGAAGTATGTTGTAAGTGTTGTAATAAATAGTTAAAATACAAACCTGTCTTGTATGTTGGGACACCAAAAAAAAATCAAAATGATTTCTTCTAGTTATAGTATTGTCAATTACAGTTCCTGGTGCAGGATTGGCATACTTCTTATCAGATATGTACTAAATCAACAAAAAAATATAGAATCTGTACAATCCAAATAGTTACAGAAAAAATTTATTAAAATTTTTGATAAAAAAATTACTAGTTTTTAACTTATGCGCTCACTTGAAACACTCGAGTATTAATTCGTTTTTGAACAATTACATATGTTATTTTAGGAGAATAAGATCCTGGGTAACTTTTAAAAGATTCTTCTAAATCATGCAATTCCATTTCTTCAACTTGCTTAAGATCACCATCTCCAACACCATCTCTGAATATGATTATTTTATCTGGTAATTCTCCATTTTTCTAATTGATGAAAACAAATTTAAAATGTATTTTGAAATATTGAATTTAAAATTTAGCACATAATGGATAAAAAGATTATAAACTACATCATAAATCAATTCACACAACACATTTATTAAATATTTAAAAAATGTAACTTTTTTAAACAAATAATTATGTAATATTAAATTATTATGCAAATCAATTTTATATTCAACCAATTAACACAATTGCATATTTAATTACTGATAACTTACCATCTTCCATCTTTGTATGACTTTATGAAATGAATCTTGAATTGACTTGACAAGTTCTTGATGGGTACTTTTTTGCATGGCAGCTACTGATGTCCACTGAGTAAAGTGTTTGTCAAGAGATGCAACAAATCCAACAACACTACTTACTTGTTTTCCCTTTTCATGGTATACATCAATACCTACTATCATTGTTGATTTCTAGAACATGAACATGAATGAATTATAAATTAATTTCTGAATAATGTATAACTCATTTATAAATAAATGAGTTAAAATAATTTTATTAATAAATTCTGAAGTTATCACAAATAAACTATCATTAAGATTATTAAAATATTTCAATTAACGCTGTTAATTGAATTCATCAACTTTTAGCATAACAATAAAAATGAAAAGAATGGACTCTCAAATTGTCACAATATGTTAAATATAAATATTTGATTTATGTTTATTGAAGACTTAAAATAAATAAAGAATACTAATATACTATAAACATATATATATATATGTTTAATTCTTTATTTTATAAACAAATAAATGAACAACTTACTAATGGGATTTCAACAGCCCAACATGATCCACCTAATTTACAATTCAGTTGTAATGCAATTTTTTGAGTAATAGAGAGCAATTTTTCAGGTCTAAATAATGTTCTTGAAACAATAACCTTAAAATAAAATGTACAATTTAAACATTTTTAGAAAAAAAAAATACAATTTATTATACGTAAAAAAATACTATATTTCATGTGTCTTTTTAAAATTGCACTTCAAATCATTTTTGGAATGCTATTGATTTAATTTTATTTATACAAAATATTTTAAAAGTAAGGAAAAACAGTTACATACAATAATAATAAAATCCCTTTACTTTACTTATTGAACATCTTACTTATATTACTTACTTATGCTCGAAGCCAATATCTAAAAAATATATTTTTTTTTATATCCCCAAATTTTATATTAAATACTACTCATATAATTAAAACATTGCTATATATAATTATACCTATTGATATTGCTTGTGATAACAAGTAATTCTTCATAGCCCAACACATTAAGACATACCAATTCATAGTTAATATTTTAAATTATACCTGTGAAGGAATTCCTAGTTCTGCACAACAAATCTTTTTTACAGCATTATACCTATCTTCTCTTTGGTTTGGAAATATAATAACAATTAATTGCATATCACAGTTATTAGAAATGGCTTTATTAACAGCAGCAACAAAACATTCCAAACCAATTCCATTTACTTTAAATTTAATTGGAATGTCTATATCCATTCCTAATACTCTTCCACATTTTATTAATGTATTACAAAATGAGTTTGCAACTTGTTCTTCTCTTTGGGTGAATAAAATTGCCCATTTTTTCATGTTAACCTAATAAATAAAATTTATATAATTTGAATATTTTTAAGAATACTCAAAGCAGTCATAACATTTTTATTGCTATCTCATAAGTATACTATTCGCAGTAAAAAATTATAATAAATTTAAAGGATATTTAGTACTTATGTTTCTTTTTGTCTTACAGCAGCAAACATAGCGTTTTTTGTAATGTCTATACCCCAATCCACATTTTCTCTCACTGGTCTTCTGATTTCATTCCCAAAAATGATATTTTCATTTCTATAAACGGGTCCTTCGAGTTTCACAGGAATAGGTCTCAAATTAAGACCCCAATCTTTTAATTTTTTACTTGCAACCTCATGTTCTAGAATCAAAAATATAAAAAAATTTAATACGTGCAATTCAATAACTTGATATAAGATTAGTCAGATGTAATTTAATAATACAATATTTAATTAATTATTAACATATACAAAGCAAAAAATTACTATGCCATAGCCAACTTTTATAGATTCTTAATTAATGGTTTTACTTAACGAGAGAAAGGAAAAGGGCTAGTTTTCCCTAATTATAATAAGCATAAAAATTTAACACACATAATCAAATTTTTAGAAAAAATATAATAATTAACTATACTAGTAAAAAAAAAAGGTGCAGTACTGAGTAAAAACAATGACTGGGCTAGGGAAATAGGTGTAGGAATAATAAAAGCAGAAAGAGCAGCTTTCTTTTTAAAAAAGTTCTTAAAGTCAAAAGTATTTTCCAAAAAATTTAAAGCAAGGCTGTACATAGCAATAATAAGACCCACACTCACATATGGGTGCGAGACATGGATTACCACAAGCAATACGAAAAGAAAATTGAGAACTTTTGAGAACAAAATGTGGAAAGTAATATGTGGACCAGTATATGATAATGAAAAAGGAACATGGAGGAGATAGTATAACAAAGAACTGTAGGAAGAAATAGAAATGGCATCAGTAGTAAATTTCATCAGGAGGCAAAGGATCTCATGGCTAGACCACATATGGCAGCGTAATGAGGACGATATAAACAGAGTAGTCCTGGAGTGGGAGCCTACGGGAAAAAAACCTCGAGGACGACCAAGAAAAACATAGTTAGATGTAGTGGAAGAGGACATGAACAAAATTTTATGGGTTTAAGATTTTGATATTACTTTTGGATAATTATAGTGAAAATCAGTACAATCATACTATTATGTACTCCTATACTCTTTAAAACCCTATTTACTGAGCATGCATTAAATACCTTTCAAAAATCTGATAGCCTAAAAATGTATTGTAAGTAAATCTTAAAACATCTTATTTATATTTTACATCTTACCATAAACACGTTCCACAAAATTCATCAATGATCCCTGTCGAACTTCTGGGCTAACTAAAGTATACGCATGCAGTGCTTTCATTAATTTAAAATTAGTCTTCATATTCTCAGTTAATCCAGTTAAATTACATAATTCTGGAACTAAACTTACGGTATCATTTTCCTACAAGTTATATCATATTCAAAAACATACATAAAATTTTCAAATGATATAATAAATTATGCATACTTACCGAACCACCCTTTTTACATACATCTTTTTTTTTAGCTTTTGAAATGAGCAATGGTTGTTTAAGACTCTTAATTTCAATGTTATAGTTTGTTTTATAATAGTTCACATATGAGGTCTAAAACATAAATTTCCCATTTAAGTATTAAAGAAAATGTGATATTCGTTATTAATAGTGTATCAGAGTATCCGATGTATTTGTTGTAGGATAACAAATATAAAAGGTTATGTTTTTTTGTTATGTACTTAAAACAGTGATTCTGACTGATTAACAAATAATGTTTTTATAGTGTAGTAATAAATGTAATAAGCAATCAAATGTTTTTTATTTACTTTTACATTACTTAAATATTAGGGGGACAATGAGGATGTTGTTGGATGAAAAAGTGTAAACTTAGTCGTTAGTATTCACTTAAGTTTATTATTATTATTTATTTTTTTATCCTTTTATTACTACATTGAATTTTACACAGTGTGGCCCCTCTAAAAGGGATTCAACTAGCACAAAAAACCTCTCAGTTATATCTGAGTGTAGTTCAGCATAAGTAAACTTGTTGTGATAGACATGGTGGTTAAATATAAAATCAGTAAGGATTGAAATCTGTCTATAAAAAGCTGGATCAATTTTTTTTAGTCAATTTTATTGAAGATTAAGGTGTCTGTGCTATATAGGTTATTAGATCCAAAGCCTATGCAGTGCTACAAGAGTTATGAGACCCAGTGCTGCCGCATTCTATTGAATATAATATTTGTGCAGTTTTAAAAAAATCATAGTTTTTCTAGTTTTAGATATCATTCTTAAAAGTGTAAGCTTTACAATAAACATGGGCATTTAGTTATAGTATATACAAATAAAAATAGATTAGGTAACATAGCTTTAAGTGATGTTAGTAATAATGGTGATGACAGTAATTGAAAATAATTATATTTTTTTAATATTAACATGGAAATATTGTTCTGTTAGAATTTGTTAAAGTAAAAATTAATGACGTTATTATTAAAATGGCAATAAATTCTGAGGCAGCCGATTAATGATAACTAAATTTTTTGACAATTGGCTAAATGTTAAGTTAAATTGAACTAACTAAAAATTAAGATTTTTTGATAACTTTGTTTTAGAACCAATAGGTGTATTTAACACAAAAATTGAGTTTAAAGGCAAGATTGTTGAAGAAAATTTTGTAATTACTAAAAGTGTAATAAAAGCGTATCCTTTCATTGGGAGGGGTCTCATGAAATTATTTAATATATCATTTCAATGAGGAAGTGATATAGAAATAAAATTAATAATTTATATACAGAAGATAAAGTAGAAAGAATCGTAGAAGAGTTTGAAGATGTTTTTGAAAATAAATTAAGTGAATATAAATATTTTAAAATCCACTTAGAGATTGAAAATGGGGTCAATTCCACTATTTTGTATGCCATTTGAGTACAAAGTGGCAGTAGAGAAGAAACCTGGTTTTAAGCTGATTAAGAATAAATGTTAACTTTTTAAGTCGTGTCAAATATTTTAGTCACGTAATTGATAAAGAAGACTTAAAAGTAGACTCAGATTAAGTGTCAGCTATTTTAAGGGTATCCACGCCATCAAATAATCGTTCTTAGGTTTAGTTAACTACTATGGTAAGTTTGTGTCTAATATGTCAAATATGTTAACACCCTTACATAATATTTTATAAAGATTTAAGAAAACTTTATATCAGATAGGATCTAGTACATTATAGTCTAAAACTATCCGTGGTGATTTCATGTAATGCTTCTGAAATTGGTTGTACTAGCACACAAATTTTCTCAAGGTATAGAGAAGCTTATAAGTTTTGCATAACATACCCTTACCAAATCTGAATAAAACTAATCAACTATGCATAAAGAAGCTTTAGCAGTTGTGTGGGGAGTTTCAAAATTTTATCAATATCTTAATCTGATCACAGACCATTAGTGCTATTTGGGGAAGCATTTTTCTGCTCAGGGTTTAATTACAAAATTAAATATATTAAGGGTACAAGTAATATTGTTGCTAATAATCTTTCATGACTTCCAATAGTATGTTAGGAGAATAAAATTAATTTTAACCACTTTGAAGACTCAGATGCTATTAGGATATTTTACCAGTCAGTTTTCTACAAATTATATGTGAAATGTGAAAAAAATTGTATTATTATTGAGTGTTGTTAGATATTTGAAAAGTGATTGGCCAATTCAAATACTAGAGTAATTGAAACCTTTATACAGGCATAAAGATGAAATATTCAATGAAGACAATGTCTTATTTTGGGGACATAAAACTATAATACCTAAAAGTTTAACTAATCTTTTACTTAAAGTTACATGACACACACTTGGGAATCTAAAAGATGAAATCTATATCATACTTTTAAAGGTCAACTTTAGATAATGGCATTGAAAAAATAGCTAGATCATGTAATATATGTTTAGAAAATATATCAGAACATAACAAATGTGTTTTTACCAGATGTCTTCAAACAAGTCAAGTATTTGATTTTTTCTCGCCTTCCTTTGTTCCTAGCCTATCAACTCATCATACCTCTTTAACTTCGCCTTACTTAGGCACACTTGGCTTCTTTGCACAAGCGTTTATACTCCATCCAATCTTCTCTACTTTTGATCTTCTGCCATACTTTGAATTGCTTTTTCTTACTTTCTATAATTTTTGGAATGTCTTCATACCACCACCAGGTTTCCTTGTTTCCTGGCATTCTACTCCTACTCTCACCAACAATCTCCTTTGCAATATTCTTAACACAACTAGCAAATCTATTCCACACATAATTTATGTCTCTTTGAACATTCCACACTGTCCTCTCTTTTACCGTCTTGACAAACTTTTTTTCATTTTCCCCTTTCAATTTCCACCAACAGATTTTCGATTTTCAATTTTTCTCCCGTGTTCCTTTTGTTTCTGTTTATTCTTTTATTTTCTTTTTATTCTTTATTACATTCAGCACTTTTTCCTCAAATATCAATTTCATGACTATAATCCTGTCAATTTTCCTAGCTACTTCTACTACTTTACTTTTCAATTCCTCATCCATTATTATCCATACACCATTCTTTGTACTATACTTCCCTGAGTATATTATTTTATACCCCTCACCTATTTCCCTTGATTTCTCTCCTTTCCACTTTGTTTCCTGCACACAATAAACGTTAACTTTTCTCCTCTTCAATACATCTACTAATTCTCTACTTCTACCATTTAATGTTCCAACATTCCAAGTACCTATTCTTAATTTGTATCTATATTTCTCCCTTATACACAAGTCCAGCCTAGAGTTAAGTGGTGATGTCCCTACACCGTTGACACAACAAGCATTGGGTAGACCTGTACACATGACTGTTGAAACAGCTACCACACAAGTAACTAAATAAAAGTAAATAAAGTAACTACTTTATTCCCTCTCACCCGTTGTCCCCGCGTACATACGAGATAGGACAATTCGCCTAAGTTTTGTTAAGGACACATCATGCTATTTGACAAAAAATTTTACGCTAGCTATCGCCCTGACGCAACCTCATTAGTTGCCTCTTACGACTGGCAGAGGGTCCATGGAAATATTCTTATCCCCTATCCACAGGGAAAATAATCTATACATAGTTAATAGTCAATAATAAAGATTTAAGTAAACAATTACTAATATTTATTTTGATCGATCATTTTGCTCTTGTAAGTTTATGTACCTTTAGCTTGGTTGGCGATTACTACTTACTTTTATATTTTACCGGTTTAATAGTATTCATTTTTTAAAATATTTAATAAAATTTATATACTATATATTTACTTTATATAAGTTGTTATAAATATGTCATTGGCCATGTGTGCCACCGAACGGACGGAGCGCTCTCTTAAACGTAGTATATTCAAACGTAATGAACCAGTTAATTATATTGAAATGCTGTTAAATTTAGTCAATGAAACTGAAATAAACATGAATGCTACACTCGTTCTTCAAACGCGAATTAAAGACATTGATATTGTTATGACGGATTTTCGAATTGAACAGTATACAGTAACCATATTCATAGTGAAGACAAAATAAAGTTCGAAATTTTTTTTTTATATTAAAGTATATTTTTATTATATTAGTATATTTTCAATCCCTTTAATTTCCCTTTTTAAAAGGAAAATGGTAAATAATAATAAAAAAAAAACACATCATAGTAAAATTAATACCTTCTTAGCTTCGCAACGATGCTAAAATGTTCTTAATAATGATGCGTTTATATTTTGCAAAAATCTAAGACAATTGTAGTATTTACATTCTTTGAAATCGACTAACAAATAGGACCACGTGTGACTTTACTTTGCACAATTGTTTCTAATGATAATTACTTTTTCTATCTTTGTACAATGACATCGTTAAGTCATGTTTCTTGCACTCAAACCATTATATAATGAAAAGATCCTATACATTAGTTTACGATAAAATTTAATTCATAGATTAAGAGAACTCGGTACCCTTTATCATTGAAAATTCTTCTGAAACGCTAAATTATTGGTTTAGACATAATTTTCAAAGAATTGGCAGTTTTTTTACATGTAAAATGTAAGAATTTAATATATTCTTACATTTTACATGTAAAAACATTTATCAAAAAATATCATGAATATCATAGTGAAGACAAAATAAAGTTCGAAATTTTTTTTTATATTAAAGTATATTACATAAGCTTTAATTTAATATATATATAAAAGTGTCAGTATTTCTGGAACACTCCTGTAAGTTTTATAACACGCTTATATTAGTTTCACATGTATGTGGGTTGTGTGTTGTATGATGTGTGTTTGTAACTTTCCACGTGGCACATGTTATTATTCTCGCGTATCCCGTCGTATATGACCATGAGACTAGACGTCCTAATGCATTCACCTCACCCTGCTCACCACACACCAGAAACACTAATCCTGTATAATTTTATATTTTTGGTTTTTGTACCCATACACGCGTACGTGACATCAATTATATATATATATAATACAAATTTTTATTTTGACTGACCAATATCGCCCGCGTGTAATGCGCCTTACGTATATATATTTATATATTCCTACCACCGTTTATACCTTAGGTATAACGTTCCCCTCACCTACAAAACAAGGCTATACCTAGTATAGCCTTTATTCATTAGGCCTTCCTTGTTTTTAACCACTTTATTCCCTCTCACCTGTTGTCTCCGTGTACATACGAGATAGGACAATTCGCCTAAGTTTTGTTCAGGACACCTCATACTATTTGACAAAAATTTTTATGCCTGCTGTCGAACTGATTCAACCTCATAAGTCGCCTCTTACAACTGGCAGATGGGCTGTGGAAGTATTCTTAGTCTCTATCCACAGGGAAGTTAAGATAATGAAGGATGGTAAATTTTATATAGAAAAAGTTATATATGAAATGTAAAAACCAAAAAAAAATTGCAACTACTTTAAAATATCTTATCATTTACAACATTTGTATGATTAAGAGATTTTTTTAATTAGAAAATGTTATGCATCTAAATATTATTAAACTTATCATTAACTTTAAGAAAAAAAAATTGTTACCTGTACACCATTTTGTTCAAAAGTTGATAATGGTGTCATACTAAAATCAATATCATCAATTCTATAAGTTTTTCTGTTGTAATGTGTTATTACTGTAGAACCACACAACGCAGCCATTATTTCTTGTTTACAATCTTCTTGTTTTGATTTCATTATATCAGTCCTAAAAGATTACCATTTTTAATTAAAATTCATATATATATATATAATTATAACCTTATTTCAAAGAGGTATAATTAAGTGAACTGTACATTCCCATTAGTTCCTTTTATTTAATAAAAAAAAAGGTTATTAGAAAATAATTTACTATATACAATGTATAATTATATTATTATATTATATTATATTATAATCAACGCCAAGCGGCTTTTACAAAATTAACAGACAATAAAGAATTGGACAACAGATAACAACTTAATAGACACATAACTTATACTAACTTAATATTAGAGAGAAAAAAAGACATGGTAAATAATAAATAAAATATACATGGTGTAAATTGTATAAAACAGGATGTGAGCACTTCGTACTATAATTGGTTAATATTTTATTATTTGCATTATACATCATCCTTATAAGTGGAGCATTCCTGGAGAAGTTAGTTTTATTGGTGGGGATATAAAAATTACACTGAAGCCTAGTATTACTAGGAATCCGAAAACATAGTTCTCCAAGAAGCCTGGGAGCATGAACTTGACCTTCGATTAGACGTTGAATAAAAGTGATACCAAAATTACCACGCCTAACAGAAAGAGGAACAAGTCTCAGAGCTTGACTTACTGGCTCGTATTCATGTGGTGGATGAGGAATGTTGAGGCAATAACCGGCGAAACGCATAAAACTACTTTGTACACGTTCGATCCGACAGATATCAACTGCGGTATATGGTGACCAAACAATAGACCCATATTCAATAACCGACCGGACAAGTGCGCAATAGAGAGCTAAAAGGCACTTGGGNAACAGGACTAGTGCACTATAGAGAGCTAAAAGGCACTTGGGAGAGCTGAAATTGGTTGAGTGACCTCTTATAAATCCCAAAACACAAAAAGCTTTGCTGGTTGCATAATCAATATGAGGGCTAAAATTAAGGGAAGGTACAAATAATATGCCTAAATCATGGACCTGATTAACGCACTGAATAGATATACCATCAAGCTTATAGTCAAAAGATATCACTGACTTGGAACGAAAGAAAGTCATTACTTTACATTTAGAAATGTTAAGAGATAAATTAAACATACTACACCAATTGGTGAATTTATGAAGGGTATTTTGGAGAGTGAGGCAGTCATTGTTTGAGGTAATCATGTGAAACATTTTAGAGTCATCGACAAAAAGTAGAAGACGACAAGGGGAAACAACTGAGCACATAGTGTTAATGAAAATATTAAACAATAAAGGACCTAAATGGCTGTCTCGTGGAACACCAGACGATGCCCGGAAGAGATCAGAAGACTTACCGAAGAGGCTGACAAATTGTTGTCACCCACTAAGTTAAGAAGTAAACCATGATAAAAGTGGCTCGCCAACACCAAGTCTATCTAGGATATATAGAAGTGCATTGTGGTCTAAAGAGTCGAACGCTTTAGAAAAGTCCGTATATATCACATCAACTTGATTACCCAATTCAAANTCGAACGCTTTAGAAAAGTTCGTATATATCACATCAACTTGATTACCCAATTCGAACGCCGCGTGAAGGTAAGATACNAAACGCCGCGTGAAGGTAAGATACAAAAACAACATGACTAGTCGCAGTCGAGCGACCTGGAAAGAAACCATGTTGGTCAATTGATAAGGTGGTTAAGAAAGAACGTTCAATTCGTTTCAGTACTATATACCCAAACAGTTTACCTAGGATAGGAAGGCAGGAGATGGGTCTATAGTTAGCAACATCAGCTGGATCCCCAGACTTTAGAATTGGCGTAACTCGACTTATTTTTCACACGGAAGGGAAAACCCCTTCTGCAAGTAATTGATTAAAAATTAAAGTGACTGGTAAACTGAGAGAGGCACGGCAGTGATACAGTAGATTAACAGAAATACCATCAGGGCCAGAACCACGAGCATTTGACAAAGAGTTGAGCTGCATTAACTTCATCAATCGAAATTGACAAATTAGAAGGAAGGTGTGAAAATTGATTGTTTGTAAGTTCATAGGATAAATCATTAGAGGTAAATCGAGGGTCACCATACACAGATGAGAAGTGAGAGGCAAACAAAGAAGAAACTTGATCACCAGAAGCCTTAGACTCCCCTAGATGAACCTCGTCTGGTATTGTAGAGACATCACGTTTACTTCGAATAAATTCCCAAAATGATTTAGGATCTACACATAAGCGACCTTGCATGTTACGTAAATAGTTACTATAGAGACGCTTCGATTCAAATTTACATTGTGCACGCAGTTGAGAGAAATTTGAATAACGATTAGGACCACCAAACATTTTATACTGTTTATGCGATAGTTTTTTCTTAGCAAGAAGTTCCTTTAGCCTAGTTGAGACCCATATAGAAAAGTTGAGTTTCGAAAGTTTCATAATGGAACATATTCATGAATACAGACAAGCAGTAAATTCTGTAAGAAATCAGTAGAATGATCTACCTGAATCTAAGGCGTTATACCAATCAATACTCTCTAATCTATGAATAATCCTCTCATAGTTAGCATTTTTAAAATCATAATAAGTGTGTTGCGAGTCAAGCATAGGAAAGGCTGAGGGAAAGGGGCAGGAGATGGACAGGGCTGGGTTGTAAATGTCACATGGAACTAATGTATCAGTAGTCTGCAGGACTTGAGTGGAATCATGGTTGGTGAAAATTAAGTCAAGAGGGGATCCAGTGTTATTCAGAATTTGGTTCTTCTGGACGAAGTGAAGGAGACTAAATTGATCACCAACAAGGCGGACCTTGTCAGTTATACTTCCTGTATACACAAGACCCGAATCACAGGCGGACCAATTGACATTGGGCATATTGTAGTCACCACATACAAAACCAAGATCATAGTCTTTAGATCTCCAGACCCGGTCAAGAGCCTCAACATGACTCTCATAAACAGACAAATTTGTGCCAGGAGGTAAATATACTCCTGCTAAAAAAACAGAGAGGCCNGCCAGGAGGTAAATATATGCTAAAAACACAGAGAGGCCCCTGTATGGTGTGAGGCTAACAAAAACTTGCTCACAAGTGTCATATGGGGTCGTAATTAAGATTGGTCTTAGCTCTTTTTTGATGGCAATTAAGGAAACCCCTCCCCGAAGACAGTTATTTGTGCGTGCGTTTTTATCGCACCTAAAGATTAAATGCCCATCAAAACCTAATTCGTAATTAGTAATGTCATCAGAAAGCCAAGTCTCAGTAAGAATATAAGCATCATAAGATAACGAAATGAAATTAGTTCGGAGATTAAACAATTTACTATGAAGGCCACGTACATTTTGGTAGTAAATATTAAAACAATTATCATTATTAGGCATAACATTAAAATTATTAAACTTAGGGTACGGTATAGATGAAAAATTAGTTTTAATATTTTTAAAATTAGATAAAAATGAGTTGAAGGTAGAATGAGAATAGCAGCATAAAGTACAGTTAATATTATTTTTACAATAATCATGCAAACCAGAGTTGAAGTCAGGAACTAGTGCGAATGCTGAGTAGAACTCGGATGGTGATTGGTTCTTCCTCTGGGGTTTTTTGGACCGGCTTTGATAACTGAGGGTCCTCCATTTATGTATGAAATGGTAAGATCTGAAGAGCCACCATCCATTTTACTTTGCAATTCGGAATGAGCTTTATGTAAAAGTTCTCGTTCAAGCGTGGTTTTGTCACGAACAATACGAAAATCAGGATCAGGTAATATTCCCATTCGCATTTGTGAATTAAAATTAGAAATGAGCTGAGAAGCATCGGCCTTGGATCGGCAAATTATCTTCAAAGGTCTCGGTTTCTTCGCATTATTATTGCCTAGGCATATTAGCTTAGGTTCAATGGGTTCTGGTACAGAAATTTGTCTGAGATGATTTCTAAGGGAAAGCAGATCATCTTTAAGTCTTAAGGCAGCAGTATTTGCAGCAGACTCAGGCACTCCATAAGTGATTGCGTTAAATTCAACTTTACTACGTTCAGTGGATTCACGTAAAATCATAGAAAATGAATCGCTAGAGAGGCCAGGTTGTGATTCCAGAACATCTATTCTTGAGCGGAGCACTGAAATTTCTGCCCGAAAAGAAGCATTCTCAGTAACCAGATCTGCTACTTGAGAGGTGAGTGACGAAATGCTACTTTTAAATTCACTGAACTGCGACGATTGAGAAGTAGATAGCGATGCGATTGCCTTCATAATGTCAGAAGTAGTAGGGGATTTATGAGTCTGTGCACGAGTATTTGAGGCAACGGAAGAGGGTGATGAAAGCATTATTGTGTGCAAAAGTATTGGAGAAAAATATGTATGTAATATAAATAATATTAAATAAAAATGCTTAAAGATACCTCCTTAAGAACATAAGAACGCAAAACAATGTACAGAATTGTATAATACTACACCAGCTAAACTGGAGGTGAAACACAAGTCGATAAGAGAAAATGAAAATGCCCAGCGTTAAAGTCACCAAGGAACAGCTGATTGAAACAGTTTATTGATAAGTTCATTGTTGACAAAGCTTGGAGTTACAGAATGGTATAAGCGTACTTAATATACAGTAAAGATCCAAAACTTCGATTCTTACAGTTAATCAGCCAAAATGGAGCTTGAAAACATATGTAAGTAGAAATGGCACAAAGACAAAACAAATGGAAGCGTCCATAAAAAAAGAAGTACATACACATTAATAAATAAAAAAAAACTGATGAGAGCAAATTATTATCACTGTTATCATAATACTTGACTATTATACAGGATTTTTGTTAAGTTTGTAATGAATAAATATTTATAAGGATAAAAATTCACCATATCTTCAATAAAGTAAAAAATGCAATTATATTATCATTCTCCAAAAAAAAATAATTTTAATTAGAAGCAGCCAAAAAAATTATTTGGATTGGGTTAGGAGATTATGCAACCATAATTTTTTTGTTTTGATTTTATTATATCAGTCCTAATAGAATGTTAAATTGATACTAAAATTAGATATTTATTAAATATTTAAGTTATCATATAATTTGCTCAATTTTGATACATACAAAAACTGTTTTTAACTTAAAATGTTTAAAATTACAAAAAAATTACACATTACTAAAAGCATAATAAGACCAATAATATATATAACTTACATTATTTCTAAAACAGACTGTGTACGCAAAACTCTGTGCGACACTTCACAACACAAATATAGTCCACTTTCATATTCATCAATTGAAGTGATATAACCTGGCCACACCTCCAAACTAGTAACAGAATTTATTAAAACAGATGTTAGTAAATGAAGAAAATATATTATAAAAAAAATTATCATTCAATTAAAACATACTTATACTCTTGAACTAATATTCTTTTAGTAGGATCATATACACTTCTACCAAATTCGACTAAGCCCAAAACTTTCATTATTTGACGAAGGAACACATTGTAGAAATGAATACAATCACGCAGTGATGTTTTACGTTTAAATTTTATTGTTAATTTAACTTCAGTATCTAATTTACTAATAAGGATAGTTTCCTAAAAATAATTTTTTTTAATTAATATTTATCTTATCTCATAATCAAAAATTTAATTTGATAAATAACTAACATCCTGAGGTAGTTGACTAGGAATATACAGAGCTGTGCCATCAAAAGTCTTGACAGGAAATAAATCTCTGTGCTGATTAAGTAATGCAAATCTGGCTTGCCTGGCATCAACTGGAGGATCATAATCAACCCTATATTCATAAATACCTTTGTTTTCTTCAAGTGAAATTTTTATGTAATTTGATGATAATTGTACCCTAGAAAAAAGAAAAAATTTAATTAATTTTTACTGTACAGATTAAATACATAACCTAATAAGAATAAAATACTAAAATAACAAATACATAAAGATAGAAAATGAAGAAAATTTTTTAACTAGAATAGCAATGTACATGTTTTATGAAATATACTATTTCGATATTTAAAATTTATTAATTAAAAAAAACTAATGATGTAATTGGATCAGATTAGTACAGCTATACAATTATAAGTGCTAATTAATTTTATTTTTTGACTTTATAGTAGTTCACTTCATAAAACGTAAGTAAATTTATATGAAAATTAGTTATCATTATACAGAAAAAGAAAAATATTTTTTTTAATTAATTTTAATTTATTTAAAAAGTCTATTTTAAGGTCAAAAATAGTAAAGGTCAAATAATGTAAAATTAAAAAATTCAAAAGAATAAAGCAAGTTAAAAGAAAGATAAAAGAAAGATAAAACTAAAAGACCATCTAATCCATGGGTCATTAAGGGCTTACTAAAATATTGATAAGTTAAAAGTTTTTAGATTATATATTTCACTTGTTACTTGCATTTTAAAATTTTCAGAGGGCTTTACTTTATTTTGTTGAACTCTACATATAACAGGAGGTTTTTCAAATTTTTGTTCAATATGAGCACATTTAGAATTATCTTGTGGTAGTGGCAAGTTAGATTCTTGATGCCTTGTTGTTTCTACAGGAATCTCAACTGATTTTTGAATTAATTGTTCCTGATATCTATCAAAAATAACAAATGAATTATAATATAATTATACATATTAATTTTAAAGGAAAAATAGAGTTTGGCTTGAATATGTGTTTAATGATTTTACTACATATAATAAACTCAAGCACATAAATATCAAACAATAGAAAAAATATTATTTAAGTAATATATATTATACACGACAAAATTGAGGATAAGACTGAAAATAAGCTTAGATTGTTTGGTTATATCATGAAAAGAGAGAAATTGGAAGATGTAAAAACGGTTATGGAAATGAATGTTAAAGAAAGAAGAGGAAAACCAAAACAGATATGGTTGGATGTAATTGGGGATCATATGAGGGCTGCTGGTGTGTTAATAGATTGTGTTAAGTGATAGTTTAGGATGCAGTTAGACAAACCCAAATAGTAGAGGGAGGGAGTAAAAAAAGATATTATAAATGACAAAATAAATATTTTTTTGAAATACAACATATTAGTTGCCCAATAATGATGTTTTTCTAAATTAAAAATTAGCATATAATAAATTGTATGAAATTTAAATAAGACAATCACTTATATTACATTAAGCTTAAAATATTTCAATATACAGGTGGAACTCATATAAATTATGATCTACATAACATTGTATACCTTTTTTTTTTATTATTCAATTTTTACAATATAGAACTATATTTAAAATATGTTTTATTATTTTTTGCAATTACAAAAATTTTTTTATTAAAATTTTTTTTAATATTTGAAGATAGCCATTTTATAAATAAGTTTTAAAGAAAAATTTTCATATCAAAAACTTTTATTTTAATTCAGTAGTTACGTTTATACATCATTTAGAAGTTTGTTAAATTTTTATTTTTTTACAATTTTCATATGGTATTAAATATTAGTCCATACTATGTTAAGTACGGAAGTAAACACTTATTACGTTATTTACTAGTAAAAGTACACAATTTCTTTTCCATGAAAATTATTAACATTTGAATAAGCATTTGTAATTGACATGGAAAAACAAGTAGTAGTATAATTAAAAAATTATAGAAACATCATTTAAAATATGTTTTTAATTAAATAAATTCATATATCATAAATTTAAATGTGAATAATAATGAATAAATGCATGTATTATCGAATCTTCTGATAAATTAGAATTAATATCCTATAATAATATTATTACAATGATAGAATCATGCAAATTAATAATTGTTTTCACTTTTAACTTGACTAACTATCAAGCACTTGTAGTTGACATACAATAATGTTTCTAACTTTTGTAATAAAGATTAGAAATAATCATTTCAGTAAAAGCGCATTAAACATTATTATTATCTATGGAAAAGAAATGTTAATAGTAAATAATGTAATAAGACAGTTTTTACTTTCATCCTATACATGTATAGAATGAACTAACATAGGATACCATAGGAAAATTGTAAAAAAATCAAAATTTAACAAACTTCAAAATGCTGTATAAACGTAACTTCTGAATTAAAATAAGAGTTTTTGGTATTAGAATTTTTCTTTAAAACTTATCTATAAAATTTTTTTGTAATTGCGAAAAATAACATAAAACATATTTTAAATATAGTTCTATATTATAAAAAATATATATATATAATGTTAAGTAGATCATAAGTAATATGAGTTATCGGTTAGATCTGTTCCATCCTGTATTGTTTTATACAGTAAAAGTTACTTTTAAATTTCACATTAATTTTTGTGTTAATATTTCTATAATACCTTAAGTTTTTTAGATCTACAGAGCCTAATGAGAGTCCTGATACGTCAGGAACATTTTCAATGGTTTCTGATTGTTGAACTATATGCACATTAGGTAAGCCCCTGGCTAATAAAGCCTAAAACATACAAAATTAAAAATAAGTTATCAAAATACTTCATAAATATAAAAATTTGATTTCTGTTTTTCATCCCTAGGAATTAAGGAGCTAGTTAATAAGATAGATTATTTAAATAAACATGTAAATAAGACCCTATTACATAAACTTTATATTTTAAGCTATGCTTTAATGAAAAAAATTTGAAGACCCCTTAATTCAAGCTTGGTAGAATTACATTATAACAATATTCAAATAATGGAATATTTAAAGTATATCTATTTATTATGATAAACAAAATGTTTTATAAATATTTAATTTAAGTAATTCACACTTAAATTAAAGAATTTTTTAATAACTATGTTTCTATATGCTATATATCTGATATCAAGTTCTCTGTACAGTTCTCCACCCAGACTAATTTTTTCATCAGTTAAAATATGTAACATTTAAAAAATATAACTAGGTTCATTAATATTTTAATTCTTCAAGTGTTTTTAACAATTATATATTACACATTTAAAAAAATCCATTCTAGTGAATAGTGTAGTATAAACTTACTACTTTTTATTAAGTATTAAATTATACAAAGCTAAGTTATTAATATTAAGCAATACTTTTTTTCAAACTGGGCATGAAATAACCTTCTAAGTATTAAAAATAAGATACAAGTACTAATATAATAATTTTTGACTTATTAAAATTCTACCATAGGTGAGCTTTTTAATCATGTATACTTTAGAAGAAGTGCTTGGTCCGTCACCAGAGAGAGGGATGGCTGACTTCAATTACTGAACAGATCTTTCGCTCAGAAAATGTAGCTACCAGTCAGTCATAAACAAGAGATAGTGAACATAAGGCATTGCCACATTATCAATTTAGCCACACCGTCCCTCAAAATAAATGAAAATTATAACTATTAAATAATAAAAATTAGACTAAATAATTAGATATAAATATTTTAATCAAATGTAAATAATTCTTGAAATAATATGAATATATATTTTTTATTAATCTATATTTAGTTTAACAATTTTACCCGTCGTCCTCGAACAGCACATTGACGTGCTACCACAAAAGCATCATTACTTGGGCTTGGTTCTACAGAAGTCAAAGGTGTTACAGGAACTGTTGATAGAATTGGTATTGAAAGAGGTGCAGATATAACAGGAACTATTGGGGCTACAGTTTCAACAGGAGTTGCAGATGCAGTTGTTGGGATATAAGTAACTTCGGGAGGCTTAGTAGCTTGAGCTTCATTAGCTGTCATTTGAGCAATACGACTTTTCAAAAACCCTCTTCCAGCCATTTCTAAGAACAAAGTAATAATTTGATTAAGTAAATTTAAAATATTAAGTATTTTATTTATTTAATAAATAAACTAAGAATCATAACTAATTTTTTTAATGTTAATGTGGTATAATGAAAAAATAATAATTAAGTGGTTCAGGTAGTCTGACAAACTGCTCGATTTTATAATGATGTTTTAACTGTTTAAGATTGTGTATTTTGATCTTTTTATTTGTAAATTTAAATATTATTATAAATATGTAGAAGTCTCTCTAACTTTACTAAAATAAAATCTAATTAAACTGTACCAATAACTGATAAATGTGGAAAGTAAGTGGAGTTATTAAATATGAGGTGTTTAATCCAGACAATAAAAACTATTTAACTTCCATTTTATGTCAAAACATCACTACTAACTTAAAATACTGGAAATAAGCCATTCATTACTCTTTCTTTATAAAGTGCTCTTAGAGTATTTAACCCTTACTAAATAGATAAAGCTTTATAAAAAAATTTTTTGCTTGTGTTCAATTTCTACAAATTCAAAGTGTTAACATTTTTACTAGTAAATAATAAATTTTAAAAGTTAATGAAAAATGCAATACATCTTAACAAGATGAATTTTAATTGAAACTATTTTTAGGTTTTATGAAACCTAAGAGAAAGTGGAAAGAAAATTTTGCAATATTAACAATGAAAATTAAGTACGAGTAATGATAAATGATTCGAAATTGATTGATCTGTAAATAAAAAAAATTCTGATTATTTATCTACTTAGTTTTGGATCGATAAAATTCATGTTAATTTTTTGTACGTTTTTAATCTATTGTTATGGTTACACTATGAACCTATATTGAAGGTTTTCATTAAATAGAAATTCAAGTTAATGAATAATGTAAATGTTTTTGTACTATGTTATTGTAATATTATACAAAGTATAACTAATATCACGATATTAATGTCTCATATATATGTAGTACTCTCCCGCATAAGGCTTAGATTCTAACTCTACCGTGAAAAATACCAGAACAATTTTTTGAAATATCGATAATCATATAAAAAACGAGATTAGAACCGCAATATCTGATAAAAAACAATACACGGAGCCCCGATTTCTCTTAAAAAATAAAAAAAAATATCCAAAAACAATTAGGTTTACAGGGGTACACTTCATAAACACACTTACGACAACACTGAATATAAGTTATTCATAAGAAAGTGTATGAGTGCTATGAAAGTGTATGAAATCAATGACTTAATGACATTTAATATTTTTTAAATGAACGTTAAAATCTTTATCTCCTATAAATTCAAATTATAATCGCGTATTAAAATTATTAACTTACTACTTTAGTTGTTAGCTATCAATATACTTATATAATAATACAAATTGATACCATGTAGGGTGGCTGAAATACACAAAAATAAAGAAGAAATTATTTAGAGATCACACAACATATTCCATTCACTACAGCCAACGAAATGAATGCTTTTAAGCGTCTCACATGCATAATATGAATAATTCATTATTTAATACTTCAGGCATGGTTTACATTTAATTAGCCTAACAGATGGCGCCAACTTCAAGTTCAAATAATAGGAATCGTTAATTTGGTAATAATCCTTTATATAAACATAATATATTAAACGACTTTTATCAGCAAAATATTTTTGAAATGGCTAAAACTAACACAAAATTTTCTATGTTAAGAATAATTATTTGTTATAAAATTATAAATTTATTATCCGAATTTTTAACTCTAATAAACTGCGCATATAAACATTTAATAAACAAATTTTTTCTTAATAAATATCTTAGGTATTTCTCTTTTATTATATACATTTTTATGGAAATCTGATCCTGCCCACAAGGAGGATTCAAAATAGAAAATTTTACATGAAAGGTTAACCTTTCAACTTAAATTTTGAATTTAAAATTAAAACTATATTAAAAATATTATTAATTTAAAATTAAAAATATTTAACTCAAAAAACTTATAAAAATATCATATACGCATTTTGAGAATAATTTTACCATAATCAATGCTAAATACATACAGTCAGTATGTGTTTAGCATTAATAATAGTAACATTGTTTCAAAAGTACTAATCCGCGATTTATTAGTACTTTTTGTGACTTTTTTAATCAAATATTTTTTAGTTTTAAATTAATAACGTTTTTGATATAGTTTTAATTTTAAATGATATTAGCCACAAGTGATCACTTTTTATTATATTTTATTATTTAACTTTTGAAAATGTTTCAGAAATTTCCAGATGGAAAACCCAACCCAACCGGAAATTTCCAAGCTTCGAACAAATGTTAAATTAAAGTTTATATACTTTAAATTATAAAAAAATTTGTCTCAACACCATATCTTTTTAAAACTTTTGATTATATATTTTATATTATAAACTTTAATTAACTATTACTTTTTAAAAAATGTATAGATCAATACAATTTTTTTTTTATTGATATTTTATACATTTTTCTTTCATTCAACATACAGTGTCTTGAAAAATACATAAAAAAGTAAAACATTTTCAACTTAATTTTCGGAAATGTTCTGTAATCATGTTATGTAAAAATGGCTGTTTTATATGCTGTTATAATTTTTTGTTCAGTTATTCATGTCTATATTTCAGGTCAAACTATATAGTAATATAAAAGGGAGGGCTTTTTACTCCTATTTAACTCCCAATTTTACAAAAAATAAATAATAAAATATTTTAAAATGAATTATACATTTTTTTAGGGGAAATTTTTGCAACTTTTAATGTCAATCCAATAAGTATATTAAAATGAAGGGACTTCCCTTTCAAAATACAGTAGTTCTAACTACCAATAGAGGTAACAAAATATACAACTACTTTATAACTATTTATATTTCTCTGATATAATTACAATACTAAATTATTAAATATCAACTTCATACTAAAATTAATTGCTACAACAATAATTTATTTAATTATACCTATAAATCATAGTATATGTATTCAGGATATAATTAAGGAAATATAAGTTAATTTTCTTTTGGAAAAATCTAATAATTTCTTCTAAAATTTGAACGCTATCAATAGATTTGTATTGAAGCAATTTTTATGGTAGTGACTTTAATCTTTTTTCTTTTATTCGCCTTAATCCCAATTACTTGGGGTCGGCCATCCTTATCCTAAACTTCCACTTGATACGATCTCCCACATCCTCAACGCTCACATCAGCTGTCCTCAAATCGCATTAAATAACATCCCTCCATCTCTTTTTTGGTCTTTAAAGTGACTTTCATCTTTAAACTATCTTAAAACATTAACGATAATACGATAAAAAATATTATGAAAACTAATTTTAATTGTGATTTTGTTTTTTATCATACTATCAAAGTCAAAATAGTTCCCATTTAAGAAAATAAAATTTAAAAGCTCTGGAATGATGAAAAAAATAATACTATAGAATTTATTAAACTCATTTTAAAATAATTTTTCTCTCTACAAAAATTAAAAAATTAGTTACCGAAAAAATTAGTGTTTTATCCTTAATCACCTGTATAATTCATTTCATTCTTTCAGGAATTATAATCTGCTTTATAAGCAAGTTAGAATTTTTTTTATATATTTACATTAAAGTTTTTATCATAATGATTTATTATGATGTTAATGACTAACATATTTAATTGTATATTAGTAGACTCTAATGGCAGAGTCCAGACTCCTTGAATCTTAAATAGAAAAATAAATGTATATTACAGCAAACTAGTAAATAAAATGTGTAGTGAAATGTACATAGAACATTACATTTATAAAATTCTTGTATTATAAATTCTTCTATAAAAATGGAAAAATAATTTAAAAGTTCAGTCATAGTATGCTAGTAACATTAAATCATAAAACCTAGCATGAATTATTAAAATGGTATGTTATAGTAATAAAATATTAAAGTGAATATGAATATGAATAGAATATGAATTCTAATAATAACCCTTCCGAGTCAATATCCCTTAATTCTATACAGGCTTCCCTTAACTTAGATTGCCTTGTTAATAGGCGAAAATATACAGACGTCTACTTTCTATCTAAATTAATAAATGGTGTTATATCCTGTCCAGAACTATTACATTCCATAAACTTTCATGTTCCTAAATTTCATTCACGTTCTTGTCCCAAATTTGAAATCCCTTTTCATCAAACTTCTTACGGTTTTAATAACCCTGTTGATCGAATAGCCGGAGAGTGCAATAAATTAAAATTTGATTTGTTTATTATGAATAATTTGTATTCCTGAAACACTGATTTTAGTAGCCTGATGCATTTCATTAAATCACCTTCCTTTTTTGGTAAATGTAATTTAATATTATGTACTTAATACTAATATTGTTACATAATTGTATCTTTATTTCAACAATGTTTATTATATATTTTATTGTCACTGTACTTGAGCCCTGCTGGGCGTTTACACCAAATAAATAAATAAAAGTTAAATCTGATCGATGATCAATAAGAATTCAACATAGAATAATGTCACATTGGCGTTAAAATTAGATTAGCAAAGTTAACCTGCCTACTTAATTTATGTGTAAAGAATCCAATATCAGTAACAATAAAATCGCACCCATTGATATGGTAAATGCCTGTTTATTACGATGAACATTATTAGATTGTTGGTTTTCCCTCAAAAATTATATCAGTAGTTACTTGTTTCTTTATCAAGTAGTACACATGTACTTTGTCATTATAATACACCTATATTTGCTATTCCATAAAAAAAATATCGAAATTTATACATGTAATTATTTTTTATGCCATTTTTTTAAATTTATTTATTACGAATAATGTTTGTGGTAGTTGATGGTTGTACTTCTTACGGAAAAAAAAATTAACCTGGGAAAACACATTTTTACAGTTTTCCGTGTCATAATATATTTTTATAACAATTTTGAAAGTGGGTTACTTTTTATAAACGTATCAATTACACCCGTATGTTAATTTGCTTTAAACATTTTTGTCTGAATATTTTAATGAATCGATTTAACACATAAATGACTTAAAAGAGAGACCAATGTTATTATTAATTTGAAACCAGAAGTAGTACCTTTAAATAATAATTGTGTTCAAAATTTTTCTAAGACACCTAATATAATAACAATACAAAGATTTAAAAACGTATAAAAACAAGCTAACTACTAAGAGGTAAAGATAACTTGACTTTTAGGATTGTTCAGACGATATTACACGAAAATATTTTATTTCTAGTTCTGTTTCAAATTATATTGACTATAGCTATGTAATTTATGAGAACAATAAAGGTATTCAATGCGAATTAGATAAAAAAGCGTTTTAGAGCTACATAAAGACATTTTAAAATCTTAAAAAATAATTACAATAATTATATAAAGCATCAGATAACTAAAACACCTTAGAGTAGTTTAGACAGTAACACAATACTACACTCTACAATAGTATTATAATAACGTGTATGTATACAAACGTATATGTATATATGAATACAAACCGGTTAATTAGTACAGTTGATAAAGACAAATTGATTAATGTGAAAACTTTGAAAGATAATAATTCTATAAAAGTTCATCGTATAAGGCAATAAACAGTTATACACCGTATGACTGCATCGCCTTCAACAATAAATACTTAAACATTTTTGACAAATTGAAATGATCGCAGCTCAGTAATGCTAAATATTACTATATATAATAAAATTACATTTTATTATATATTTAAATTGGTCTTATGGGGCATTTTAAAAATTATAAACTAGTTACTTATATTTAAACAGTTTTTTTAACAACTCTGATTGTCACTTTATTATTTAACCATTTATTTAATCCGTGTAAATTCACCATAGAGGGGACGGTGTGGCCGAGTCGGTAAGCGGCAATGTTTGACGCGCACTGATTCAAGTTCGAAACTCAGCCTCGGGCGGCTTCATTTACTGAGCAAGATATCAGTTTGCAGACCGCTATGGCCCTTAATGGGCTTAAAAAAGCGATAATATATACATACATACTAAATAGTATGTATACAAAGAAAAAATGTTAATATGTAGCTTCCTTGAATATACATATTCATATACTATGTAAATCTGCGACTTGAAGGAAGGTCCAATGTTACATTTTTTCAGAACCATCACAAAAAAGATAAACCAAAATATTTGTCATTATTAGACAGAATTTAATAATAGAACAATTCCCCCCATCCGCATAAAAATGATCAATTACTATGTTATTTTTATGTCCATTTGGCAAATGAATGGTCTTTTTTGTAATTTAAAATGTTGTAAGGAATAATCTATTATACGCATGAAAAATAAGTTATTCTAAAATAACAATAATATTTATCATTTTTTCTAGTAACACCTTAGTAATTAAAAATTACTAACTATTTTGGTAACTGTAAGATAATTTCAATTACCAAGACTGGATATGTTACTGAATAAACCCCTAAACCAAAAACTATGTTGATGTTATATATAAAATGATTTATATACTCTATTCATCTGTAATTATTTCTGTATTTTATGCTTACTTATCAATAAACAGTTATACTGTAAGATTTTATATGTTATACAGTAATAATTTTTGGGAGTACAAAGTATTATAAAAATACAGAGTAAACCCTTATTCTGGTCTGTTCTTATTGTGCTCTAATTAACGTACGCGAACATCGTGATCATCATTATCGAAGTTTTTACGTATTAAAGTTATGTGAACTGAATCGAATTGTGTTATTTTATTTATCAATTATTGATTAATACTATTATTTAAGATATTATAAGAACTAAAAAAAAATTATTAGGTAAGATTTTTTTAAATTGATAAGAGTCAACATTTATGTTATTTTATGACCTTCGAATCACACCCCGAAAAGTAACTCTCACTCTCAATATCCTCCACACCTTTTCTCTTTATTTTATAAATTTTTGAGTTACGATACACTGCTAGCTTTAAGCCCATCAATTCTATTTTTGCAATACTTAGTATAGTGAGTTTTTCCTCATATTTTGATTTGTAAAAATTGTTTTTTGTAAACATATTATGTCTGGTGTGTAATTTGCTATTAGAAGTTTTGGTTCATTGTATTTTTTTATAGAAATCGTTTAAGTTTCATTGAAGTATTTTTGTGTTATTTTTTATTCATTGATTTTTGATTTTATTATTTACTAGTTATTATTTAGTGAGTTTTAAATGTATTGGTTTATTTAGGTTCTGAGCTAATTTAATTTCTACTGTTATTCTGGACTTGGTTGTACTTGAAATATTAAATTTGCTAGTTTGTTAGTAAGTTAAGATTTTATCGCTTTATTTTTCAAGAACGTTCTAATATTTTCAATTACATACATTATGCTTGCTGGATCTGAATTAATATTCTCATAGAGAGAGTGTATGTTAATAGATTTATTCCTGAAATTTTCTAATAGGTATTTCAATTGGTCTATTGTTTATTTTAAATCGTTGTGTGTTTTAAAA